AAGCCATGATCTGCTTATCTGTTCTCCATTTTTCATTTGGATGAAATAATAGCTGCATGAATCATGACAGCAGACAAGATAGAGGAGAGCAGGAGGCGGGGTTACCAATCTACTTGCTCTGGAGAGCAGAGTTCGCTGCTTTTAGATGTTGTCTCCAAAGTCTCCGGTAGCAGAAAAAAAGTCGCTAGATTTTGCACTAGGCGCTTTATTTAAAATCAAAGTTCTAGAGGGTCTGAAAAGTGGCTAAATATAGCGACTAAAGCACTAAGTTAGCAGCACTGCTCAGGCAGTACTGCGGCAGAGGCGGAGGCACATTTGCATTCACCGCGACACACGCAGGTGACCTGGTTTCTGAGCATAAATCAGCCTTAAGGGAGAGCCCAGACACACTACAGAGAAAACTCATTTATGCCGCTTGTATCCGGGATCTCATTCCTTTGGTCATGACCCAAAGCTCATTAACATGAGGGTAGAAGCTGGCAACATCTTACTGGTTATTATTATTTATCCAGGAAATACGTGTCTTTCAAGATAGAAACCAAACTTTACCAGGAAACATCAGACACAAGGTGATAAAACGTAAACAGCCCTCACCCTACATATCCTTTACTCAGGAATTAAAAGATGTAGGGATTATATTTCACATTTCTTAGCTCTTTAGCTTCCCTGTGTTTCACCTTTATAACTGTAAAAGTGTGACACTCCCACTGAAAGTGCAGATGGAGTTTAATCCTTTTTCCTGCTTTATCTGTTTATATCTGAGCTGCTGTAGCCTACATGTCTGCACACCTGATGTGAATATAGAAGTTAGACCAAAATGGCAACTTTTAAATCTGTTTGGTTGCTAACTTGTTTTCATTATTCTCTGTCCAAGCGGTGAAGAGGCTTATGAAAGAAGCTGCAGAACTGAGGGATCCAACCGAGCATTACCACGCCCAGCCACTAGAGGTAAGTCTACAACAGCCTCACTCACAGGGTTCATAGAAAACTTTACACAGCTTTACAGGATATATCACTTTGTCTGTGGAAGGGAGAGGTCAAAGGTCAGAATAGAACAGAATGGACTGAAATGAAGTGACATAACCTTTATAGTCCCACAGTGAAGGAAACCTCATGTTACAGCAGGAGGTAAAATGTTCTGGTGGAGATTCTCAGTCATCCATTGGGGCATTGCAGGCTAACAAAGAAGCCAAACGACCCCCATTCCAAAGTGGTGGACCCGTTCATTCATTTCAACTTTCATGTTTTCTAAACTGAAACAAGGCTTTGTTGGGCTGCTGATCAAATCCTGGAACTCAACACTATTTCTGCCATTTTGAATTGAAAAAGCTTCCTGGATGAAAGAGAAACGTCTTTAAACTTGGAAACAAAGTCACGTGGATTGTTTTTAAACTTTTTTATAAAGAGCGGGAGCTAAAGCATGAATGGCCTCATACAGACAAACAAAAGCAACAGATATAAAAACCCATAAATATAAGAAAGAGTTTGTAACATAAGGAGAAAACTGCTCAGTTATCCGTTGTTAAAGCTAGCATAACAATAAAACAGTGCGCAAGTGAGCAGAGAGACCTGAATGTGAAAAACTTGTGTGTATCCATAGAAACACCAACAGACTGTCTACAAGCAAGCAAAGCATCTTTGTTTGGAGCAGTGATGACTAGAAAGTCTAAAATATTATTGTCTATTACGCCAGTAAAAGTGTAAAAGTACAGGAACGTTTTTCTACAATTCTGGATGATAACTTCCTTAGACTTCATCTTCTTAGTTTTATAACTAATGGTAACAGTGTCAGCTTTAACTTTGCATCGTCTTGAAAAACTGTTTATTTTGGTTTGTGGGGCAGCACTGAGTCAAACCACAAAAAAATTTAATGTCTGGGACACACGTTGAGACACACTTAATATTATAACTGTTCTGATGGCATTTTTAGTGAAAAACATAATTAATTTCTCAGCTTCACATTCAAATCGATGCTTATTTTCATTTCCTTCTGCTTCCAGGACAACCTCTTCGAATGGCACTTCTCTGTTCGCGGGCCTCCAGATTCAGACTTTGACGGTGGGGTGTACCATGGCAGGATAGTTCTGCCCCCAGAGTACCCCATGAAGCCTCCCAGCATCATCTTGCTAACAGTAAGACACAGAAAAGCCTGGTTTTTTTGTCAAGTTGATCACATTAGATCTGTAAAGACAGTAGAAGGTCAGCCAGCCCTCCATCTGTTAAAACACCTGCTGGATCTGCTGCCCACTCTGGATCATTTCTCCTACTGTTCTCCTCTCTCTCATTGTATTCTGTATTTCACAGACATTATTTGTGCTTTTTATCATTTTTATGCCAGAAATGGTCCTTTGCTGTCAGGCGTTAGACAGATATGTGATGACGTGTTTTTTCTCTGGCCACCAGCGCTTTGCCTCCAGCTCGTTTCTTTTTTGTTCTTCCTTGCAGCCAAATGGGAGATTTGAAGTCGGGAAGAAGATTTGTTTGAGCATCTCAGGACACCACCCAGAGACCTGGCAGCCTTCATGGAGCAGTAAGTATGATCCAGAGCCAGGTCTGATCCAGCCTTCTGGTTCCTTCTCTGTTTAATAATCTGCTAATAACTGCAGAAGGATGAGAGCATTTTCTGCATCTTTAGATGTTTGAGAGCTGGAGTTTTTTTTAAAGCTGGTTTGGATGTCAAACATTTAGCTCTGTATGTGATGCGTCCTTATAGAGCTAAGAGGTGTGTACCAGTACATGGCCATCAATGTTAGTGCATGTTTAGCTTTTAAATTCATGTTTTGGTTCATTTTCAGTACGCTTCACTAAAGAACAAGAAAAAAGTGCTGATTAATTTTATTAAAGGGGCAGAGCCAGGTTATGACATTTTCCTAATATAGACTTAGACCTAGACAACGTTTATTGTCATTTTGTATAGAAATTAATTTTCGGTTTGTCCAGCTCTCATGACTTTTCCATTTCTTAAACTACAGGTAAGCATAAATGAGCTATATATCTGTTATTCTTGTGTTTTACTCTTTGTTTTTGCTCAGTTTGTCAGTAAATGAAGTTAATATATACAATAAAAACATTACTTGACTGGAGGTACTATTCTGCATATTTGCCTAGAAGGTAACTGAGCTTTAGTGAGTTAGCGTCTCTCAGGGAAGTTGTGGAAATAATGAAGAAAATTCCAAGATCAAAAATCTTTGATTGTAAGAGAGAAAAGACTGGATCATGGCTCTGAATGCAGCATGATGTTCGCTGAGGCCACGGCTTCAGACACGGCTGCTGACGAAACACTTAGTCTCTGCAGTTTATTGACAAACATTATAAATAGGCAGAGGTTGGTAGAGTACACAAAAAATGTACTCAAGTAAGAGTAGCACTAAAGTATTTGGTAAAAAGGCTTCTAAAGTACTGGCTACCTATGATCATAACAATTTAATATTTTGCAAACATTTTAAATTGAACAAAATATTAAGTGATATGAAAATTTTCAGTTTTGAAGAATATGATAAGAATAATCATATGTAATTACCCAATAAAACTTTACTTATAACATACATTTCTGAGTTATAAAACGTACGAAATGGGTAATCACAGCATTTAGAACAGGTTAAATTATAGAGTACTGTATTTTCACTCGACCTTAAAATGATACGGCAGACTCAGCAGATGGAAAATACATTTTACCAATAAATCTTGAGTACGAAAAAGAAGAAAGAGTGACTCTTAATGGTGGATGTGTGTTTAGAACAAGCTTGTTTTCATTAAGTGAAGTTACTGACAATAGATAGAGCAGCCAGAAATGTTACTCAAATAATAGTAAACAGTATGATGCTGTAGAATAATTACTCCCTGCCTGAATGAAACAAAAAGAGCGAGGTGCCTTCTGCCGTCACAGCTGCTAAGATTGAAAAGGCTACGCAAGATCAGCAATCATCTTACTGCGGAAATAATATTTAAATACATTTTATTTACAATTATTTCAATGAAAAGGTTTTAGCCTTTAGTTTAATTAATAAATCTAACTGAAATATTGCTGATCTTGATGCTTTATCCCTGTTTATGTTTGTTAGGAACAGGAAATATCTTCTAGCTGGGTGTTCTTCCAGGACGCTCTGGGAAGGATTGACTGGAACTTATGTTGACGATGACGTCAGGGTGACCTAAAAAAAAACAAAAAACTTTAATATCTCTAAAACAACTGCAGCACATGTAATCTTTATTATTTTACATTTTCATTTTAAATGCCCTAACCTGCACTAAAGCAGCAATAACAATTCAGTCTACTTGTTGAGTTTTTTTCACATTGGGGCGGTTTCTGCTTCACGCAGCTGAAGCTCCTCCCATTTGATGGGATGGTCCAGGAAGTAAACACTGCGCCTGAACTAACTTGCGGAAATCCCCGCCTTCATCGCATGCTGTGTGAACGCATCATAAAGAAATCCACCATCAGCTCAACTGTGAGCCAACTACATTCCACAAATACAGACAATCTGTCAAAACATGACAACTTGTAATTTTCACTTCTTTTTTTTGGCGTTACAAAACATGTTCTATCCTGGAATAAATCGGCTCATTTTGTCCCCAGCGCTCCACAGAAAAGCAATATCCAGTAATATCCGTAACAATCAACCTTTTTTTTTATGGAGAAGTAAAATATCAGCACAAAAGAACATTTTTTGTGTGTCTTCTGAAATATCTCCACCACTTTAGATGATCTTATCTACCTTACATGGGCTTATTCACCAATCTGTTTGCTCCCAAAATCAAGAATAAATTCCTTCCTCAGTATTCACTTCACTCAGGAGTGAAACGAAATGACTAGATACGCCCAGAAAATGTTTAATGGAGAGAAAATCGTTCAGAGAAAATCTGTTTAAAGCTCAATAAAGTAATGGGTTTTTTGGGGGGGGTTAGTCATACAATTAAACCAGTTTGGTACTTTCAGTTCTAATTTGGATCAGATGTGACAAATGAACATTTTGTATAAAAGTAAGGTCACAGTTTCACAAACATTAGGACCTAGAGATCTGAAATTGTACACACTTGTTCACAACATGAACAGTGTAATAAGTTGTAAATGTCCACTGACTCCACTCTGGACAGAAATATCAGCTGTGCTGCTGCCATCAACACCTTTGTTTCTAGATGTTGGAGATCAGCCTGTTTTTCAGTGTAGTCCTGTTGCTTCTTTGCTCTATGCTTCTTTTTCTATGTCTGCTTCTGTCTCCTTGAACCCCAGTGAGCCTGGTTCTGCTGGAGGTTTCTTTCTGTTCAAAGGGAGTTTTTCCTCTCCACTGTCGCTAAAAGCATGCTTAGTGTGAGGGATTGCTGAAGAGTCAATGAGTCGATGCAATCAACTGTCTGCTGTCTCCATGCTGTCTCCATGCAGGCTGAGTCCGCTCCAGTAGCACAGGCTGGTACCAGTGGAGATAAAGCTCCAGCAGTCACCCCGGCAGAGGCCTCCTCTTCTGCAGAGCTACAAGCTGATGAGCGGCACCAAGCTGGACAGGTGGGTAACAGGCAGCCATTTTGGATTACACTGGAAGCCTCTATTTCTGCTTTGTTTGGTTGATCGATGGGATCAAAGCTTCTTTCTGCTTTTAGTGTTGGTGGAAGATTTAACACATTAACATTAAAAAAGAAACACCTTCTGCTTCTGCTGCTTCTATCGTGTGCAGTCTGAACGTAGCATAACACATGCCTTTAGCTGACAGAGCACTTAGAGCAGGAATTATATAAAAAAATTAAAAAAAAATATATATAAACATTTTGCATTTAAGACAAAAAAGAAAATTTCTTCAGTCAATCTGGTCTATCCAGAAATCCTCTAGTGGAAAATCTTTAGTTTCACCTGGTTTAATTTCATAAAATAATTCTTTAAGGAACCTTTGGCTATCCGATTATCAATCAATTAATTGAAAATATAATCAACAGATTAATCAATTTGCAGAATAATGGTTACTTGCAGCCCTGATCATGTGACCATGTGAAGAATTGATCTGTTTGCTTTATTAGAGAAACTCCCTCAGACTCCCAGGGGTCTTTGACTTGTCAGGTCTCTCAAGAATACAGGTTTGTTTTTTTGGCAAAAATGTTTCCTTCCGCTCAACTTTCTATGAATATGCTTGGATGCAGCTGCTTCAGCGTGAAGGTTTTCCCTCTGTGTGACGGATGTTTCCTTCTGGACATCTGTCCCATCTGCAGTCTTCGCCCTGAGGCCAGAATAAGGTCTTTATGTAACACTGGACATTAAAGTATTCTTCTTGAAGTTGGAGTTATATAACATTCTCATTTTCCAAGACACTGGACTTTGCCTTTTCATTATCTGAAGGCCATGATCATGAAGATTACAAGAAATAAGGCTTAGAAGGTTTTGCTCTTGGTGTGATGATTAATATTTAAGTATTACTTCCAGTAACCAGAAAAAAATAAATATTCTAATCCAAGAAGCTCAGTTGAGGGAGGAGTCACTGACCTGTCAGAGCAGGAGACATTAAGATGACCCTGATGGGGAGAAGAATAGAATAGAATAGAATAGAATAGAATAGAATAGAATAGAATAGAATAGAATAGAATAGAATAGAAAATCCCTTTATTGTCCAACAATGGGGAAAGTCTGGTGTTTACAGCAGCAAAAAGATAATAGAAATAAATAGAAGATTCTATTCTATTCTATTCTAAAAGTGGGCCCTATAAAAATGTATAAAGATAACAGAATAGTGAAGAGAGATAAACAAATAAAATNTAAATTTTAGCTTTCAAATAAGATGCATCAGAATTAATAGGGATTTATAATATTTGTTAACAAGCTATAAGAATGTTGGAGCTAAGGTGTTAACAGTCATTTTTTTGTTAAATTTATTACTGACACAAAAAGCAAAGTTATTTCACGTGCTCTATAAATTATTGCATAATTTCCTTTAAACAAAACAGGAGAGAAAGTCTAACTAATTTCATCACTGCAGATTTTTAGTATGATTATTTCTATTTAGAAAATAAGAAGACTCACAGTAGGATCAGAGAAGTGATATATATGGTAGTGGTTTTTAACCGGTTGGTTGGTCTGACTTCTTCCACTGTCAGATTAAATGAGCTGTAATCATGATGATAGAAGCTCCAGGCTTTACCTATAGGAGTATATCGGTGCTTTCAGACGGTCAGCCTAACGAGGTTCATCGTTAGTATCTTAGCAACAGAACTGAGGAACAAGACATCTCATAGACAGTTCTTTGAATCCATAACTTTGTGATTATTCTCTTAGAAAATTTGTAATCATATAATAGTTTGTGACAGTCGGATATTGACCAGCTCTTTTTATTTTATTGTCCTTGATGTAATTTGATGTTTATGTTCTTTAAAGTCTGATGTAGATGATCCTCTCATGGTTTAGATAATAACTGCGGCTGAGCGATGAACGTTCAGCTTTAAACCTACTGAATGATTATAAGGTTGTTTAACCCTATGATGCTATATAACCTTCATAAAACCTTTCTCTTCTTTCTCTTTTGCTCGTCGTGTTTTTTGTCTCCCAGTTCGAACTGCGCTGATTGCCATAATTGGTTTCATGCCTACCAAAGGTGAAGGAGCGATCGGATCTCTAGATTATACCCCAGAGGAGAGAAAGGCTCTGGCCAAAAAGTAAGGCTGTCTTTAAGTTCCTCCACAGATATAAGGATGAGCAGTTAATGCTCTTTACTGTGTAGATCCATGCTACACAGATGTCAGCCTATAGTGTTATCATCAGACACTATAGGCCCATCCAGGAAACTTTTTCAGTTCTATTGAAAAATCTTCCTGGATGGGAAGTGAAATGTCTTTAAACTTAGGAAAAAAAGTCCAGTATATTGTTTTTAACTTTATTGGAACGACCATGATTAGGATGACTGAGAATCTTCACCAGCATATTTTTTTATGATTGTTTTTATTTTGTCTACATGTATTTTATATGGTGCTGCTTTGTATTCTATGCCTCATATTGTACAGCACTTTGTGACGCCTGCCTGAGAAAGGTGCTATCTAAATAAACCTACTTAATTTAAGAAATGTTTACTGACTTTCAGAACGTTTTTGCAGGGCAGTTCCCTCCTCTGTTAGCAGACTCGATCAGGATCAGCTCGTTGATTTATTGGCACATTTAATAAATTCATTAGACAGATTTTACTCTAATTCCAGGTGTTCCTTTTTTTCAATTTATAAGACTGAAAAGCTGACATTTTTTTCAGTTCAAATGTTATACAGCACAAAAAAGCCAGTTGAAGGTCTGGAATATGAATATTTAAATACAATGACAAGTTCTTCATAGTGAATAAAGTCAACGCTAACATGGCTTCTCCACAGACATGATCATCAGAGGTGGAGGAGATTCACAGCTAAGATGGGACAATCTTTTAACACCACAGATGTTTTAACTTTGACAGAATGAGACAGAAAAAAACACTAGTGGAGCTGTGAGACCAAAGACCTGCTTTGCTTTGCTCCTTCCAGGTCTCAGGACTTCTGCTGTGAAGCCTGTGGCTGTTCGATGCGTTCTGCCCTCCTGCCTCTGACCTCCAACAGTAACCCTAGTGCAGAGGATCGCCAGGCCAAAGAACTGGCTCAGCAAATCAATTTCAAGGTAAAGATGACGGCATGGAGGTGCCTTCCTTCACAGCTCATCCAGGCTTTCCTGGAAAATGTCAGCTCTTTTTAATCCG